AAAGTTCGTATACTTACAGAAAAATTATTTTATGGACCTAAGTTATTGCTCCTTGAAACGTGTCAAAACGCCCTATTTATTTGGACAGTTCTCCTTATTATTCCCCCATTACTAGCAGCACGCAGTTTGGAAAGACTGGGAAAAAACGCTGCTTTTGCCAACCGTGGTTGACTGAAAAGATGTTGTTTTATGGATCTCTTATCTCTCGCTTCAACACGTCTGTAGCAAAATGGTTGATGAAAAAAAAAACAACTGTTTCCATGGTTCGGAAATTTTTTCCGTTGACGTTTAATGCCTTGGTGTCACGATTTCAAACGAACTTTCTTAAAATAAGAAAAACTGTTGTGACTAGAGTGGGTACCGCAACATCACATTGTTATCTTTTCTCAAAATACATGATAGGAGTGTTAGGGACTGGTCAAAAAGTATAGGGGGAGTGGGCCGGAGCAGAGAGGGGGTGGGTCATGAGGTTTTGAGCCTTGTGCAAGGGGTGGGTTGTGCAATTTTCAGCTACCCTTAGGGGGTGGGTCACCCTATTTTTTACTAACTACTAACGAGACAGTTGACTACACTTGTTATATAGAACACAGCCAACTGGGATTATTGCTAAAATACTCACAAACCTGTTGTGCGAGAAAATACAAAGGTTGACAGGCCGCACATCTATACGGGTGTGGAACCCTCTGTTAACCTTCTTTTTTTTTTTCAGCTCTAACGAGCATGTCCTTTAACGATTTCTTTTTTTTGTAAGGAAATGATTGGTGGTTCTTTAAAAATTTATTGAAGTTATAGTTGGTTTTGTATAAGATTCCATTTTTTCATTCAAGCTTCCTTTATTGTAGACACTGAGGGCTGGTATTGTGTCACGAATGGCAATATTTCTTTTTCCTCCTTGTTGTTTGGTTTTAGGAGTTTAGACTCCCTTTTGTGAATTTTATTTCTGATAGTAGGTTTTCTATCAAAGATAGGGGGGCACCCAACGAGAATATAGTTTAAAACCAATTTAAACAGTAGATATATAGGCATATTTTTATCCCCTAAAAATTTTCCATCTGTTCGGATCTCCTAGCTGAGAGTCTAGTGATACGAAAATTATAGGGATCAAAACTTACTTTTTCGAAAATTTCAGCCGCAAAAAAGGCTCCCGAAAATTCTAGGTGACCTTTTTAGGGTAAAAATCCGTTAAAAATGAGCAATTATACCGTTTTTTTAGATGTTCGAAAAAACAAATGTTCCGAAAATTCTAGATCTCAAATCGTCTTTCGAACAGATATTTTCCGAAAATTGACGTTAGGTGCCCCTGAAAGATTGTGGGTAGCCTCCGTCCGTCAAGCGTTTTTTTTTTAAATTTGAATTATTTTCCCAAAGGTTGTTTCTGAGGAGTTTTTTCGTAGGATTCATAAGGCTTCTCCTTTGACAAATTCTTTTTTCAACATTTGGAGGGTAACACGAGGTGAAATGTGTGTGCAAGAAGCTTTCCGTTTGTTTAAAATGTGCCTTTGTATCAAGGATAGATTTTTCCTTGAATCTTGTGCCTTTGTATACAACCGTGTCTAAAAACGCAGTCTCAGTGTCAAATGTTTCGGCCGTGAATTCAATAGTTGGGTGATGTAAGCTTGCTTGTTCAATGAAGGCTTCGATGTCTGGTTTACTCATGTCCCATAGGGAAAAGATATCGTGTATGTGGCATTTCCAAACTGTTGTTCTAAAGACAGTTTTGCATAGAGTCGTTTCAATACATATCATGAAAACATTGCCATTGCAGTTCCATGGTTTTGTAGGTAGTGCTTTCCACTGAAGTGGAAGAAATTTTCTTTGAGGATTAATCTAAGCATTTCCGGCAAGTAATGTCTAGGAATGGGTTGTCTTTGTTGAAATTTTCATATGCTTTGTGACAGATAATTTTAATATACCCTCGTTTTGCTGTATATTTGTCAAGCCTCATAACGTCCATTGAAACAAGAAATGTTCGGTTTTTACATTCGTCTTTTCAGTGAAAGGTATGATTTCTGTGATTTTGATATTGGTTGTAGCAGTGTATCAACAAATGTTGTCAAGCACAGAACAAGGTTTTATTGGATTATTAAGAGGAAACCGAACATCTATGTTTTAACTAGGGGGTGGGTCATGCAATTTCCAACCTTGCTTTTTGACCAGTCCCTTATAACTTCTAAGTGATAAAACTACTTTAAAAAGTAGTAAATGTAATGAGAAAGAAAACTGAAGAAAACAGTAGGTAGTATGTAGGACTTGAACCCTCATCATTTGCTGTTAAGTCCACATCCGTATCCCCTACTCCATTAACGGCTAACGGCCGACACTAGTACTTTACCTGGCATTGATCATAACATTATTGAAAGCAACCGTTTTAAAGTAAGGTGCTTAACCGAGTGCTGGATCCAGAACGTGAGATAACGGGGGGGGCCTTGGTCATCCCGACCCTTGGATAAAGGGGGGGGGGGCGTGGGGCCGGTCTCCAAAAAATTTTTTTTCGGCCCTTTGGCCCTCAGTTTCGTCTAAAAATAAGGCCTACATCCTACATCCTACATTTTACATCCCATCTCTTTCGCAGAATGAATAGTTCCTCAAATATACACAAAGAACGCTCATTTTTCCTTGTTTCACCATCATGAGGTATTGTCTGCAAGAAGCTGCCCTTGACTTAACCCTCCATCAAATTAAGTAATAATTTCAAGAATAATAAGGAAACCGACTGTAGATAGATCAAACCCGTGCGAAGTAAGGTCGCTGAATTAAACAGTAATCTGAAATTATAATTTGTCTTTTCATTTTTATTTTCGAAGAATAACCTCCTATTTATGACAAAAGGTTTCGAGCCAAAATCGACAATACATTACTCTGGGTACCATAGGTTTCTTTTCTCGCGTGCAACGCGGTGCAGCGAGATGCTAAACAACAAAGTTAAATGTCAACGGTAGTTTCTGTGTGGTTTAAAAGGAGCTGCCGCTATGCTTAATGGTCTTTTTGTTTCTATCATGACTTTCCTTATGAGCTCGCTCCGGTCATTACACAGGTGTTTAAACAACTCCCTTAGGGATTCTATGGACGGAGGCATATATAGCACCTCTAGCTACCTTAAGAAACAGCCCTGTGGAAACAAATATGAGCCATTGCTATCATAGCCTGAGAAAACAGCCGACATTTGGCGGGGAAACCAGTAGTAGCGTCGCCAATCGTCGGCTGTTTTCTCAAGCTATTGTTGTCAGCTACACTCTATGTCTCTTACGATAATTACGAGTGTTCGAACTACTGGTGTCTAAGTTCGAATTATCAGATATATGTTCTGTTCAATTTACCTACAAGCCTAAGCATAATGCTTTAATGGCATTAACTAAATCCCAAAAGTATTGGCTCAGGTGACTTACTGGTGATGCTGTTTTATGCGAATTTTTTCTTTCGATTTCAGCAAAGCTTTTGATATGATGATAATTGATGTTTCGCATTACTTTATTTGCAATGCAATGTTGGTTCTGGCCCGTATGTAACCAATTGGTTGGTACGTTTTATTGTGAAGGTTTGTGGGGGAGGAAATTTTTGCCGACTACATGAAAATCAAAAGAGGCGTGCCTCAAGGGACAACACTCGGTCCCGTACTTTTTTCTATTATGATCAATGATATCAAGTGTGAAATTACGTCCCACATTGTTGGTCAAATTTGCTAAATCATACAACTCTGAGCATCCGCGTAAGTAGCCATATAGTTAATGAATCTTTAAACATTGCAAATATAGTGAAGTCCTATTATTGATGTATGACTTGTCTTACAATTATCAAATGAAGGTAGATTTAAAGAAAACTTAGGAAATGGAGGCAGCGTGGCCGAGTGGTTAGAGCGCCGGACTTGCGATTCGGAGGCCCCGAGTTCAAGTCCCGCTCTGACCTCTAGCTGGATTTGTTCACGGTAGTCTCGAGTTCAAATTCTCGACCACCCTTGTAAATAGCCAACTGGTTTGCCTACATTTGCTCGGACCCACTAGCATCCGTGCTATAAATACTGCCGAGGGTAAACAAAGCATGTTACTATTATTATTATTATTATTATTATTATTATTATTATTATTATTATTATTATTATTATTATTATGGCGTTTAATTATAAAAGGAAAAACATACAAATCACCACTGATACTTTCCCAATCTAAGGTCACTTGGTGTCACCTTTGCTGATAGTTCCACTAATTGAGATACTCATATTGATGACCCAATATATATAATGAGTGAAGCAAGCGCCAGAAGACTTTACACACCTAGGCTATGCAAGTATTACAAGTATGCACCTGATCAATTAAGGGTTGTGTGTGGTGTGGTTTGTATACCGAACTACCGAACGTGGGGTTATACTATTGGTGGAAACATGGTGAAATAAAAAACGAGAACAAATTAGTTAAATGAAAATCGTTCTGGATTCTGTGGGGACTAAGAATGTCGATTTGAAGGCTTCTTAATCCACTGGCGGTGGCCAGTCTACTTTAACAACTCAGGGAATGTACAAAAGCACCGAACATTGTACTCCGAACTACCACCGGAGCGCGTTCTTAAAAAAAACCGGAGATAATTGAAAATAAAAAATACAAACAGGAGCCCTCGATCACCAGGATTTTTAGGAGGTGGTTTTATAGTTCGGAATGGCCCGTGTTTTTTAACATTCCCTTAAGTGCTTCTGTCGATTACATTGCAGCAAAGAGAGCGGTAGAGTAGACCCTACATCAAAGTCTACAGAAAAATCTGTTTCATTATAAAAAATAAAATGAAACTGCAAAGCCTGACGTCCAAGCAATCTAGGAACAAAGCATCGTCGTTTTCTTGATCATTAACGACTACTTGTAGCACCAAACCACTAAAAAGAAGTAAATGAGAAAAAGAAGAACAAAATAATTGGATCCAGAAAGTTTACGTTTCCCCGCCATGACCTTCGCTGGATTTGTAAGTCTCCTTTCAAGCGCGGAAGCAATTAACTTATCACTATCGGGGCAAAAGTCATTGTAAGACAAATCCAGATCCGTCAAAGTGGCGTTTGTTTCAAGAATGGTAGCAAAAGACTCGGCACCAGTAAGACCCAGGACATTGTCAGACAAATTCAACTTTGTCAGAGTTCTATTTGTTTCAAGTGCTGCAGCAAGGGACTCAGCACCAGTCGGACCAAGGTTATTGCCTGACAGTTTTAACCCTGTCAAAGTTATGTTTGATTTAAGCGCAGCTGCAAGTGACTCAGCACCAGCAGGACCAGGGTCATTTATATAAGACAAATCTAAATATGTGAGAGTTTTATTTATTTCAAGTGCGGTGGTGAGTGACGCAGCACCAGCAGGACCAAGGTTGTTGCTAGATAAATTGAAGTCTGTCAGAGTTTTGTTAGCTTCCAGTGCGACAGAAAATAATTGAGCGCTTTCAGGACCAAGGTTGTTGCCAGACAAATTCAATACCGTCAGACTTTTGTTTATCTCAAGCGCGGCAGCAAGTGAATCAGCACCTGTAGGACCAAGGTTATTGCGAGACAAATTCAATGCTTTCAGGGTTGTGTTTGTTTCAATCGCCACGGCAAGTGACTCCGCACCGGCGGGAGCAAGGCCATTGGTAGACAAATCCAAATTGATCAGAGTTTTGTTTGTTGCTAGCATAGCAGCAACTGACTCAGCACCAGGAGGACCAAGGTAATTGGCAGACAAATCCAGATTTGTTAGAGTTTTGTTTGTTGTAAGGTTGGCAGCCACTGACTCCCCACCAGCAACACCAAGGATGGCGGCAAGTGACTCTACACCAGTAGGACCAATATTATTGCCAGACAAATTCAACTCCGTCAGAGTTCATTTTCAGTGCAGCAGCAAATGACCGAGAACCAACAGGACCAAGGTTATTACCAGACAAATTTAACGCCGTGAGACTTGTGTTTGTTTCAAGGGCGGTGGAAAGTGAATCCGCACTAGAGGATCCAAGGTTATTACCAGACAAATTCAGTGCTCTAAGAGTTCTGTTTTTCTCAAGCGCCTTAGCAACTGACTCAGCTCCGGCAGGCCCAAGTTCATTAGCCGACAAATCCAAATTTTTTAGAGTTGTGTTTTTGCCAAGTGCCGCAATAAGTGACTCAGCACCAGCAGGACCAAGGTCATTGGTAGACAAATGTAAATCTGTTAGAATTGTGTTGGTTTTAAGCATGTCAGCAAGTGACTTAGCACCATCAGGACCAAGTGTATTGAGAGACAAACTCAAATCTTTCAGAGTTGTGTTTGTTCCAAGTGCGGCACCAAGCACTTCAGCAGCAGCAACATCAATCCGTTCTCCCCCTAGATAAGCTTTTTGCACCGTCAGACTTGAACCAAAGGTACGTGCAAGCTGTAAGTGAAGATTACTGCCTCCCTTTTTACACTCTTTAATACACTCCAGTGCAACAGGTAACAATTCAGTTAAATCTCCTTTGTTGACTTTATTCGCTATGGCGCTTATAAGTGCTTCTACACTTTCTTCGGATCGCAAGGCTAGCAAACCACAGGTAAATAGTAGGACCTGTCGCATATTCCGGAAATACCTTGCCTCACAGACTAATGTTTGAGGGGTGATTTCTTGGCTAACAAGCTGGCACCAAAGATAATGTCCTGCAAAAAATTCTTGGAAAGTCTTATGCGTAAAGCCGTAACACTCATCGAACGGTCGTAGTTTGCTTCCGGGCTGAACTGAAAGAAATCCGAATCCAGGTAGGTCACTATGTTGTTGTCCAAGTTGCTTTTTACCAAAGTACATGCATTCCTCATGTAGCCCATTTAGTGGTATCGAGCCAAGGTGTTTCAACTGATCTTTGTATAGTTCAGTTAGGTCTTTATTATCTTCTGGTAAGCCTTTCTTTCCCCTGTATCTCATAAGAACACAGAGCACTATTTGTAAGTACAGCTGAGTCCTTCCTTCAGGTAAAACACCATCAAAATCTTCACAAAGAAGGCAAAGTAGTGCAGTGTTAAAAGGATTTGTCGACATCTCTCTGAGACTACTATCGCTCTCTAGCTTGTGTAATAGCTTTCTGGACAAACCATTCTTGCCTTTGAAGTATTTTAATATGAAGTTTTTGACATCTTCAGGATTGAATCCCTCAATCTCCACAAGAGTATCGCAGACTTTTCCCACAGGTATCCCAGCCTCGTGTCGCGCTGTAACTGCCAAGTGACAACCGGGAAGCATTCTACCCTGAATGATTTCAGCAATGAACTCCGGCAGTCTGCTTTTAGGTAACTCATCCAAACCCTCGAATACCATTAAAACCTTTGATTGGTTGTTTTGAATGAACTTCATGAATTTCTCTCTGTCCTCTGATTGAATTCCACGAGGAAGGAGCTGGTCATCAATAGCATCCCAAAGGTTGGACTCCACGTCAATGTCGCGGCATCGTAGTAATAGAACTAACTGAAAATCCGGGAAACAGCCTCCTGATTTGTCTCTCTTTGTGGCCCAGTCGTAAACAGGCTTATTGCAGTACGTTGTCTTTCCCATACCAGGCTTTCCCTCAATGAACACTTTTTTCGGTTCTTCGCATTCTTTATGTGCTTGGAATATTTCGGTAAATTCAAGATTTCTGCGTGCTCCTGTTCCTCTTGCTTCTTTCTCCTTGCTCACCATAACGAGCAGTGTAAATATATCGTCAAGATGAAAGTAGAATTGTTCACACCAAGAAAAGGGTGCAAGCCTTCCCTCTCGACTTGTATACAGTTGACGAAGACTTTCGATTTGTTTATTTCCCTCCATACAAACTGAAAATCAAGCAAGAGATGGGAGATTATGTCTCAACTTGGTAAAATACTGAAAATTCCCCCCCCCCCCCCTTTAACAACCCAGGACCCCACGTTCCATACGGCGGGCCATCCTTAACTTTTTACCCTTTACGGACGTTTTAAAAGAAAAAAAAAAAAAACCAAAAAAAAACCAAACCCCCCACCCGGTTCAAAAAAAAAACGAAATAAATATAAAAACTTTTTATTAACCACCCGACTTAACAACCTTC